CCACAAAGCACACTTTGGGAAATTCTGCCTGAGGTGGACAGGAGGAACTGGAGGTGAGAAGTCAAACAGAGGGGGACAGAGTCACCCTAGACCTAGTTTCTCCTCTAGATAGCTAAGGCGGGAACTTGGGAGCTTGAGAAATTTCTCTCACTGAATCCAGAGGTGTCCATCAGAGCTCTGCAGAACCCCAGCTGCCACACCCATTTTCTCCCTGACTCCATGCCGGCCCAGGCTTCAGTGGAGTGTGACCCAGGCATCTCAGGGATGATGCTAGCTGGAGGTACAGCATCTAAAGGGTCCCTGGTTGGGCAGAGATGGGTAATGGCTGCTTGCTGATGGTTAGGGCTGGAGACCCGGAAGCCTGCAGGGGCTATCTGCAGAGGCTCCCAGGCATCTGGAAGCAGTAGTAAGCCTGCCACTGCCTCCAGAACAGCCATGATGATGGTGGCCTAAGTCCAAGTCCCTTCTCGAGAGCCCTGAATTCCAGAACCCTCTGAACACTTCAAGTTCATTTTTTAAGTTTTGTGGGAAATTCAATTGATAGCAAAACCTGTCCTGGGCTAATCTGAGCTATTTATAGGCTTTATTTATCCCACTTAGGGTGAATATTCATATAATTCACTACAGAAATATTAATGTGTTTAATTACAGGGTGCTGCCTCCATCCCTGCTGGGGGTGTTATGTAATAAACGGTGTGTGCACTGTGTTACCTTTCCAAAATCTGAAGGAAAAATATGTAAATTCCTGCACACATTTGACTCCCAGGAATTTTGAGGAGGGGCTGTGGACCTGGGGTCTCAGAGCTGCCCCTGAACTCTCTCCATGTGCGTTTCTCATGTAATTCCCACAACGATGCTGGGAGGGAGGCAGAGCTGTTATCCACAACTTTTAGATGAAGAAACCAAGACCTCGGGCCTCACAGCTAACGAGCCTCAGATGTGGAACGCGACTCCGGTCTACCGGGTCGGGGCCCTGTGGTTTTGTCCGGGTAATCCGCAACCCAGTTTCCCCCATGTGCATCCAGGCCACAGCAGCTCTGTGCAGGTCCCTTCTGGGCTCCACAGAAATGGGCCTGTGCTGAAGCCTCCATCTGCAAGCCCTGCAGGCCTCCTGGGTCTGCCTCCACTCAGCGGAAGGGACTTTTCCTCCTCCCTGGGTCAGGCTTCTCTGGAGAGAAGGCAGGAGAGAGGGTGCCGGTTTTCTGCTGTCGGGTGAGGACCCTTTGGGCCAACTCCAGACCCCACCGATGATGCTTCTGCTCCTGTGGGTCCTGCAGTCTCAGGGGGTCGCAGCATGAGGACCCCTCAGAGACCAAACCTTTTGTTCTCTCCTGGGTGGAGCCACCTGAGGGGTCGAGGGTCACTTACACACTCCCCTCACCTATGCATACTCCCACAAGTACTCACGCTCATCTGCTCACTTCCACACACACACTTGCCTGTTCTC